AAGCTCATATTAAGGGGGAGGTAAGTAAAAATAATAAGAATATGTCCTACTACACATTACATGGTTTGACTTTCATTAGTAGAAGAATATACTTACTGACAGTGATTGGCACGTCCCTTCTCACAAAATTAAGGTTTGGAGTCCTGCTTGCATTGGAATAGTGACACTTTACACACATGAATCACTTGTACTTTTTACTCCATTTTGGTCTAAACTAAGTATGTTGGGAGGTCTGCTACTTGTTAATTTTACTTTTGTATACTATCAACTGTATTTTTGAGTTATTATGTGTTATTTGCTCAGCTTGTTCTTGATATGATTCCCTTCAGCATTTGTGACAAAAAGGGAGAGAGAAAAGTATAACTGATGGAGAGAAGGGAGAAAAAAAGGGAGAGAAAAAACATGTAAAAGAGGATACACATAGGAGGAGAGCTACTGCATTTGTAATGTGCACATGATTTCATTGGTTGACATTACTTGCATTGCATTGCTATGTTTAGGGGTCGTTGGGGAGAGACATAGATATATTTACGTACTGCATCAAAACATGAAAGCTTGCAGTAAGGCGTTGCGTTGCATTGCATTCCATATCACATCTATCTGTTTGAGTTTTGATGTTTAGTGATGTTGGTGTCTTGGTTGGTGTTTTGATTGGCATCAATATCACGTCTTAAAATGTTATGTTGATTTGTGATTAAGAGCTTTAATTAATTTTTATATTTTCTGTATTACGTGCTTTTACACTGGGTATATAAGTTTGTAGATTTCAGGAAACAGGTACACGAAGGAATGCAAGACTCGGTGATTGGGTTTACTGGGTAGTTTAGTTTTTGGTTGTCAAGTCCTAACTTATTTTTTTATTGTCCTGACTTCATTTGTAGAGTTTTGTCATAGAATTCCAAAGAGGGAGTTTGGTCTAAAAGTGTAATTAGCGATTATGTGGACAAAACGGACTAAATTGTATAATTGTAAAAGTCAGGGACTTAATTGAACATTGGTGTAAAAGTCAGGGACTTAGGGTGAAATTTGTATAGATGAGGTAAATTAGTGTTCGAGTCGTTGAAGGAGTCCAAGATGTCCAAGAAGATCACACAAGATCATCGGAATGCAATTGGAAGTCTAAAGGATATCAAAGGGCACAAATTATGTTTCGAATTTTCAGTCATAACTTGTAATGCATTTTTAAGATAGAAAACGTTGGAATTTGGACAAGACTATTTCTAGAATAATTGTATCCCTTTGAGTTATGTTTCCAAATCAACTTGAATCACCTCAATCAGATATCAGAAGAGAAAGTTATAACGAAAATACTGACGACTACTCACTATCACTTGCTTCTCGCTGGCATTTCGCTTGAGCGAAAAAAACAAAAAAACCTCTTGCTTGATTCTCGTTGGCTCTTGCTCGAGCAACACTCTTATGAGGTAAAAACCCTATTTCACATTTTTGAAGTGTTTCACTCGGCCCATACCACCTAGACACCTTCAAATATAAATACTCAAGCCCTAGGACGAAATTCAAGAGGTTGCTACATTATTCTTTCATTGCAAAAGATATTCATAGCATCTTTGAAGAGATCCAATGTGAAATTAATTAGAGATTTCATCTACATCAATCTTGTGATCCGACAACCATTGTTTTGGGTAAAAACATTGAATCTACATAGCCTAAAATACCTTACTTCCTTAATCTATTGAGAAAGGGACTCTCTCATTGGAGGATTGAGAGTGGTGGATTGAGGCGCAGTTACAAGCACAAGAACGGATGGTTCTTGGTGTTCCACTTGGTGATGCAATCATTTAAGGACCAGGAGGTTGTAGTGAACAGCAGATTGAGCTACATGAGGTAGATCAGGAAGTCTAGCAAGAGGCTAGAAGTATCTACAACAGCAGATCGTGAGACTGGAACAGCGGGTCTGATTGGGTACGGAGTTTGGTATAACTTGTACTTGCTGAATTGGTATAGTGGAGGTAACTGACTTGGTCCCGAAGTTTTACCTATGTTGGGGTTTTTTCGTCATCATATTGTTTGTTATTTACTGCTTTGCATAATATACAAACAGTGGTATTCCAACATAGGTTAATTGACTTGTATGATTAATTACCTAGACAACTAATTAAAGTGACTTGTTATTTTAGTTAGATTAATTCCACACGTAAGGTCAAATTGGTTAAAGTGAAATCTAGAACGTAAACTTGGTAACGCATAAAACTTGAATTGGATAATATGTCACGTTAGTCAAACTTTCTAGCATTTCTAAGCATTCTAGGTCAGTTTTTTTTTTAGACCTCAACTTCCAGAAGGAGCCATCCCAGTGAAGTTTGAGGTAGATGGAGAAGTCATTATCAGTTATGTCTATCCAAGGATGGATGGACCAAGCACACCCAATCGACCAACCTTTTATGAAATTATGACAGGTGACTTTGATGTTTGAGATTCTGACTCAGAATCTGAAGATGAGGTCGGTGACAGCTGGTCCACCTTCATAAACAAGAAGGAGAATTATCGAATGCCAAAAAAAAAAGGTAAAATATTACCTTTTACACCTCTTGCAAGAACAGAGCTAGAGGAATTCGGTATGAAGATGCAACCTAATAAAGATCAGGGGGCATGGACCCTTGTGAAAAGATATCGTCGAAAGGCTCCACAACTCCCAAGTTCTAGTGTTCATGATAAGAAATCAAGACCAAAGAACAACCAAAGAAGAAGGTCTAAAGTCGAATCAAGAGGATTAGCTAAATCGACAGGGGTAGAAGTTGCCTCACGCATTCCTCTCTGACTGCCAAACTCAGGTGATTATTTCTCCAAAGGTTTCTTTGATAAATAATATCTTGCCTCCAATATTATCAATGTGGAGAAGAAAAATGAGTTGAAGAATACATCAGGACAGAGTTCAAGACAAAAGAAAACTATTTCACGACTCAATAACATTCCTGCCAATACGAGTTTAGCAGAGTCTTTTAATCTTTCTTTCGATGATCAAATGGCTTTGGTTGCAACATTAATCGATTCGGAAGAATACGAAGGCAAAGTCTTAGAACATATTGGATTCGCAACTCGACAAGATTGTATGGCTGCCATGACATTTGATGATAAAGATTTACAACTAGGTTCTCATCCATATAATAGACCATTGTAAGTCAGCGATTATATTGAAGAATGCAAGATAAATCGCATAATGATCGATTATGGATTTGTTGTGAATATTATGCCGGTAAAAACAATGAAGAAAATTGGACTTAATATTGGCAATCTGTCTAGAAGGTAAATCACAATTCAAGGGTTCAATCAGAAAGGTCAGCGAGCCATTGGCATGATCCGCCTGAAGCTGCAAATAGGAGAGTTAATCTCCTCAACTTTCTTCCATGTCATTGATGCTAAAACATCATATGAGTTACTCCTTTGATGTGTTTGGCTACATAAAACTGGAGTGGTACCTTCCACTTGGCACAAATGCTTCAAATATAGTCAAGATGGAGAAATTAAATGTGTGGTAGCTGAGTTTAAACCATTCCTTGCTGATGCCAAATTTTACATGGAAGATGAAGAGTGTAATTCTGCAGGGTTGACCATATTTAGATTCACAATCAAAAAAGATGTAAACGATCATGATACGTCTAGTGCTGCTCAATCTCATCAACTTATCAAAGGGAAGTTAAAATGTACATCTGAAGGATTTTCTAGAGGCAAAAAACCTCAAATAGAATCAATCGACGTTGAGATATTGAGAAAAGAGTTAACTCTTCCAATACCTAGTATTCTAAAATTGCTTTTGCCCCATCAACTCATAGCGGTCCTAGAAGAACATAAGCCTACATCAGAGGCTTCGACATCCATTTCAGATATATCAAAGTTTTGTATTTTAAGCTTGTCCAAACAAGAAAGAGCTGCTGAATTAAAACAAACTTTCAAAGGATGTTACAATCCTCAAGTCAAAAAGTTGTTTAAAATTCTGGGTTTGGAAAAAGAGAGCCTCGTAAATTAGGTGATCTTGACACTGTCCTTTCAGGTGGGCGTGTCCCTTCTAATTTTGATGGAACCCTAATGTCTCAACCCAGGTATGGTTTGGGATATGATCCCAATCCACCGAGGAAGATTAAGGTTAAGAAGGTTTTCTCAAACCCCATAATGGTTCAAATTTATGAAGTTGCAAAAGAAAGATCAGAACAACCGAGACCTTCAGTGTTCGATCGAATTGAAAATGAGAATATCAGAGTTTCGGTGTTTAAAAGGTTAAAAGGAGAACCCTCTCGAGTGGTCGACATAAAAGGTATAGTTTCTGTCTTCCAAAAATTAAATGAAGATTCTTCTTCTTCTACCAAAATTGATAGGAATGCACAAACTCCCCAAATATCATCCCAAAGACAATTTGCATTTTCTCGACTTGGAATTAAAACTTCCAATCCAAGTCCAAAACCACAACGGTCAAGAAAAAGATGAAGACATCAAAAAGTTCACTATCCCTAAAGGGTAATAAAGATGAGGAAGAAGTTTATGTCAATCACATAGCATTTGAAGAAGCTCTCGATTCAGACTCCGAGTCTAAAAGTTCTGTCACAACTGATGAACTTGAACTAGCCCCACCTACATTTGAAGAAAGGGGACAAGCTACTGTGGATGATTTGAAAAAATTGAACTTGGGAACCCAAGAAGACCCGAGACTAGTATTTGTAAGTGCCCTTCTCAGTCAAGAAGAGGAATTCGAGTACATTCATTTGCTTTAGGAATGCAAAAACGTGTTTGCATGGTCTTACAAGGAAATGCCCGGGTTAGATCCTAAGGTTGCAGTGCATCACCTTGGAGTAAGACATGGAGTTCGACTAGTCAAGCAACCCCAAAGAAGATTTCGACCAGAACTAATCCCTCAAATAGAAGTGGAAGTCAACAAACTTATTGAAGTTGGATTCATACGCAAAGTGAAATACCCAATATAGATTGCAAACATTGTTCCTGTCAAAAAGAAAAATGGGCAATTAAGAATTTGTACTGACTTTCGGGATATGCATCAATCATGTCCGAAAGATGATTTTTCACTTTCGATTACAGAGTTGATGGTGGATGCAACTACCGGATATAAAGTCTTATCTTTCATAGACAGATTTTTTAGATACAACCAGATACAGATAAATCCAAAAGATGAGGAGCTCACATCATTTTGTACTCTTAAAGGCATATATTGCTACAAAGTTATGCCTTTTGGATTAAAAAATGCGGGGACAACCTACCAGCGAGCAATGCAAAAGATTTTCGATGACATGTTGTATAAAATCGTGGAATGTTATGTAGATGATCTTGTTGTTAAAACAAAGCGACGTGGCGATCATTTACAAGATTTACGCGATGTTTTCAAAAGACTTCAAAGACATCAACTGAAGATGAATTCATTAAAATATGCATTTAGCATCACCTCTAAAAAATTTCTCGGTTTTGTTGTTCGACACCAAGGCATCGAAATAGATCAATAAAAAATTGACGCCATAATCAACATACCAGAGCCAAGAAATGTACGTGAGTTGAAGAGTCTCCAAGGAAAATTTGCATACATTCAAAGATTTATCTCTAACATTACCGGAAGATGTCATCCATTCAATAAATTGGTGAAAAAGGATGTATCGTTTGAATGGGATGACGCTTGTCAAAATGCTTTCCAAAGCATTAAGCAGTATTTTTCTCGTCCACCGGTACTCACAGCTCCAGTCCTAGGGAAGCCACTAACTCTTTATATAACAGCACAAGAATATTCTCTAGGAGCACTTCTTATCCAAGTCAACAATGAAGGAAAAGAAAATGTACTTTATTACTTGAGCCGAACAGTGATAGGCTCTGAAATGAAGTATTCGCCTATTGAAAAAATATGAATTGCGTTAATCTTCGCAGCTAAAAAGTTAAGGCATTATATGTTATCACACAAAATCAATCTTGTTTCAAAGATTGATCCATTGTGGTACATAATGTCTAGGTCGATTCTTTCTGTAAGGATTGGAAAATGGGCACTACTATCGTCTGAGCTCGATATCAAATTCATCCCACAAAAGGCCATTAAGGGATACGATTTGACAGATTTCTTTGCTGACCACTCAATTCCAATGGAATGGAAACTTCAAGAAGACCTTCCCGACGAAGAAGTTATTTTTGTCGAAGTCATACCTTCATGGAGGCTATACTTCGACGGGGTAGCCCAAAGTTATGGTGCCAGAGCAGGAGTAGTCTTTGTCACTCCCCATGATCTTGTTATGCCCTACTCTTTTATCTTAATGGAGAAATGTTCAAACAATGTAGCGAAATACCAAGCCCTTATCATTGGCTTAAAAGCAGCGTTAGATATGGATATCCACTAGCTGGAAGTCTTTGGAGATTCTAAATTGATAATCAACTACCTTTTAGCTGAGTATGAAGTCCTTAATTTAGACCTGAAGCCATATCATGAATATATATCAATGCTTATGAGACGATTTGATTTGGTAAAAATCAAATTCGTCCCGAGAAGTGAAAACAGGGAAGCTAATACCTTAGTTAATTGGGATGCTATTTTAGCTAGGTCGGATAAAGATTTCTCTCACTCCACATCAATTGCTCAAAGATGGGTGTTTCCGTCGTTGCTACCCAGTAATTTGGAAGAAAACAATAGTATCGAAGTACTTGAAGATGAAGAAAGAGAAGATTGGAGACAACCAATAATCGATTTCCTTCAACATAAAAAACTACCAGATAATCCACGGCAAAAAACTGAAATCAAGAGACGTGCCTCTTGCTATATCTTTTATAAGGGAACACTTTATTGACAATCATTTGATGGAGTTTTCCTTCGATGCCTAAGTAATGATGAAGCAACACAGGTCGTGGAAGAAGCCCACTCTGGAATTTGTGGTGCCCATCAGTTTGGACCCAAACTCCATTTTGGAATAAAGAGGATGTGGTATTACTGGCCAACTATGGTACAAAACTCCATGGATTATGTAAGAAAATACGAAGCTTGCCAAGTCCATGCAAATTTCATCCATCAACCTCCAGAACCATTACATTTGACAGTTGCTTCATGGCCATTTGATGCATGGGGTCTTGATATAATTAGACCTATAACTCCAAAGTTTTCAACAGGGTATACATACGTCCTCACCGGGACTGACGACTTCTCTAAGTGGGCTGAAGCCGTGCCATTGAAGGAAGTAAAGAAAGAAAATGACGCAAATTTCTTTCACATCCAAATCATTTATTGATATGGTGTCACGCGGTATATCATAACTGATAATGGTAAACCATTATGCAATAGCCACATAAACAATTTATGTGCAAAGTTTGATTTCAAACAGTACAACTCGTCCATGTACAATGCGGAAACTAACGGATTAGCAGAGGCGTTCAACAAAATACTATGTAGTCTGCTGAAAAATGTTGTCTCCAAATGAAAAAGAGATTGACAAAAGAAAATCGGTGAAGTCTTATGGGCTTATCAAACTACTTATCGGACTCCAACGCAAGCCACTTCTTATGCCTTAATATATGGGGCGGAAGTTGTACTTCTTCTGGAGTATCGAATCCCGTCACTTCAGATTGCCATTTAAGAAGGTTTGACAACTGAAGAAAATGCTCGTCTTCGATTGGAAGAGCTAGAAGCTTTGAATGAGAAGAGGTTAGAAGCACAAATGCACCTGGAGTGCTATCAAACTAGAATGTCAAAGTCCTTCAATAAGAAAGTGCGACTAAAATCATTCCAAGATGGAGATCTGGTACTTTCTGTATGCAAGCCCATCATAATCACAAGAAAAACAGGGGGAAGTTCCAGCCTAAATGAGATGGTCCATTTCTCGTTACTCATGCATTCACTAATGGATCATACAAGATCGTCGACAAAAATGGACTGCAAATCGGACCTATCAACGGAAAATTTTTTAAAACGTTTTTACGCATGATGTTTTTTTTTCATTTAAATTTTTCATAGTAAAAAGAAAAAAAAAAGTGTTCTTGTAATGAACTACGTTCGACTTGATCCCGTTTGGGTACGTAGGCAATTTGAATAAATTATAAATTCATGTTTAGTCACAACTAATAAATTTATTCAATTTGTTTACCACTCGCTGTAGTAATAGGAAAAAAAAAAGAAAACACAAGAATTCTACCAAATAAAAATAGCAAGTCAAAATTCACACAATATGGTCTAAAAAAGAGAAATCAGAAATTCTTGACTTCATCAGAATCACTTGCCATTGATCACTCGTAGGAAACTATCTTCAAGGGTTTTCCTTTCTAGTCAATGGATGTTATACTAGTGACATCTCTTGTCTATAATTCTTCCAAAGCTGCCTTCTTAGCTCTAAGCATACTCGTCTGTTCATGTTGGGCTTGAAGTTCATCACCGAGTCTATCTAACTCAAAGGTAAGTTGAATAATTTTGCCTACCAACGAAGAACGCGTGGAATCCATTACTTCCAGCTGAATGTTCAAAAGTTTCAACTGCTCAATCTTTTCTTCAACTGTTAAACAATTCAAGTGTTGCATTTTTTCAGATAAGTAAGAGTCAACTTCTTTCAGAAACACATCCATGTGCTTCATCAAAGGCGCTGGGTCTACGTGGAATGACTTGGTAATCACGTTTTGAAGAATTAAATTATTTTCATCCTTCCAAGATCGAAGATTGGAGAATCCATACTTCAAAACATCCTTAAAACACTTTTGAAGGTAATTAGTCATGGTTTCTTCCAGAGCAACCTTCGAATAAGGAGACTCTTGGGTAATTCCAGGTGGAGGACAAGACATGAAAAAATAGATTGGTGCAGCCTGATGATTATTTGTCCGTGAAGGCGGGATACTGACTAAAGCCAACGAAGATGAAACGATAGGGCCTCCTTGATTGATCTCTGAAATGCTAGCTCTCATAGTCCCTCAATTCACTTCATCTTCAGCATTATCCATGATAAACATCAAAGTACCTCCATTGATGGCACCTAGATATTTGTAGGGAGGGTCATGAGAATCATGAATACCATCTATTCCTTGAAGTGCATTGATTCGCCCGTCATTCTCCCCAGATTGATCTTGCAAAAAGTTTGGATTCACAGAGAAATTTAGTTCTTCAGGGATGCTCGAAAAACCTATAAAAAATGAAGCATGATTTAAAAAAAAGAAAGAGGGAAAGTGCGGCAAACAAAAATAGGGTAAATACCTGTGTTTCGTGTCCTAGGCGACATGTCTAAAAATCCACCGTTTGATGGTGTGTTCGGGAGGCTGATATTAATGTGAGAAGCTCCAACTCCATCTTTAGAATAACTCAGAATAGCTTGAAGCGGCCTCAATTCTATCGGTCGTTTGATTTTGTATATTTGAGAAAGAGAAGCTTGAAATTGAAGATTATGACAAGGAATCAAATACAAACAATATGCTAAAAAATAAAGAACTATACTTGATCTCTAGAACTTTCATTTTCTAGAGTTAAAGTCTTTCCTGGTACTTGTGATGCTCGATCTTCAGGACTATTGTGATTTGGGATCAAATCGCTTCTGGTACCTTATCAGCAGGCTCAGAGGTGGCGACGATCTTTTCCAAGGAGCTATAATTTTCTCTCTTAATACGTCTTTCATTTTGCTGGTTTGGATCCTTCTTTCGAAAAGCCTCTTCAAGAGCAACATTTGGAGAGTTTAACCCTCTAGCTACGACCCTGTTGGAGTCGGCCCAAGAACAAAATCATGGCTCTCACTAGAAAATAAGACTTTCACCTAGACCCTGGTCAAGAGTGTCAACACTTCGCTATTCTACCAAGCCTGATATTCAACATCAATGTTTTGATATATATATATATCCCTCACATACTCTACTCTGAAATATGAAATACAAACCCACTTTTCGTCCGAGTCAAAGATAACCAAACCCGATACATTTTTGCCTACACTGGGGATAATATTCAACTTTCTTGGTGAACCGGGAAGTTTCTGTCTAAAGCCAAATTGTCTCGCAAATCTGTGAGGATTATACGCCTCAAGAATGATGGTGAATTTCCTCGACGATAAAAAACAAATCCTGATCGAATGCTCATCATAAATTTTGAAGTATCTGCAGACCTCGGTTGGTCATCTACACGTACATCAGGATGAGACGATGAGGGTAATGAATTCCAAAAAAAGTCATTGGTGTTCATTGCTCCACGGATAAGTTCTCGATAATCAACAACATTTTTCTCCCAAGACTGAAAAGCATTCAGAGTATCAGTATATCTTCGAATTATAGGGCGATAATAACTCTTATCCACATGAGCATAAACACCTTGGACAAAATAAGTTGTCATCCAAGCATACAGAAAATGTCCAGGAAATAAATGTGAAATTGAGCCAAGGTCTGGGTTTGTCTGATAGTTAGAATTCATGTAAGTCCACTATAAATGCTCGCCAATATGGGTGGAACCAAACTATAAGTGTATCGCCTGTCATCCTAGAAGATGCTTTAAAGGTCTCAACTCTTATACTTTCATACCCAAATGGAAGAACGAAGCAACAAAGCCATAGGGAGAGATAGACCGCTATCTCTAATTCCTCTTCTTCTTCCATAGATAGAGATACTGACAAATTGCTCCAATGACGCCGATCCCTACGAGTAATGTCTCTTGACTTGTCTGTCACCATGGGCTTCCATATTTCATTCGATCCTCTTTGATGACGCCTCTTGAATGGATTTAAATTTATATCATTCTTATAATTTTTGTGTTGTTGAGGATTCTGGACACAACCATTCTCGTGAAACCAAAAATTAATCCATTGTTCGAGAGTAGCCCTCTCAGATTCATTCGTATGGGCAATCAATGAGAAAACAATAAAGAGGTATAGACAAGACTTGGGAAGGTGATCCGTCAACTTTGAAAGGCTTGGGACTACTTCTTCATGTAATTACCCATGATCGAAAGTCCGCTTATCTCGCGAATGTCCTAAAGAGAAATGCCAATTTCATCATTAGCAGTCACAAGGGTGTTTTTAGACACTAAACCTCACAAAGAGCTCTATAAATAGAGCTTGGGTAATGGTAATCTTTTGTGGCAGAACCGACTGCAAAAGCTAACTCGTGAAGATTTTTCTTGAGTAGAAGTTTTTGGACTCATAAAGACCACTCCCAGAATTTTGGAAGAAGAGAAATTTCTCCTCGACTGACCAGTGCGCTTCCCCATCGTATTTCTCTATTATCAATTCTCTCAAAAATCACAGCCCTTGAGATGCACTCCATGCTCTGGGAAGGATGAGGTAGAAGACACAAAAAGGGAAAATGACTGCTAGAGCGGTTGGACTTGCCAGTATCCAAACTCTCGTGACATTCACTAATGGTGGGCATATGCAACTCCGACAATGGCTCCAGAAGATCAAGGGAAGGATCTTTCGTTGGCTTATGGACACTAAATTTAAGTTCACCCCATACGCCAGTCTGGGCATTGTACTTCATATCAGTATCTTTGAAACGCAGATAACTTTTACCTTGATTTTTAAGCTCAACAATTTCGTGTATGTCAGAGTACACTTTATCATAAAAACTTGTTCCAGCCATGCCTGCAAATAAAAAAAAGTCAGCTAAAAAAGGGAGTAGTAAATCTCTTAAATTAGTTTATTATCTAAAATAACAAATCTTCCAAATATATAAGCAGCCTCTACAAAGTGCCTTGTACGGTTAAAGGAATAGGTCCTTGGTCCCAAACATGAAGTACCTTGGACGGTCAAAGGAACATATCCTTGTCTCTTAACCCAAAGTGTCTTAAATAGTTGAATGAACAAGTCATTGGTCCCAAAAATGAAGTGTCTTGGATGATAGAAGGAGTCAGTCTTTGGTCCTTAACCCAAAATATCTTAAACAATTGAATGAACATGTCCTTAGTTCTCAACACAAAGCGTCTTAGATAGTCGAAAGAATGGTTCTTGGTCCTCAACACAAAGTGCCTCGAATGATGGAAGGAGTCAGTCCTTGGTCCTTAACACGAAATATTTTGGATGGTTGAAGAAGCAGGTCCTTGGTCCCAAAAATGAAGTGCCTTGGACGATAGAAGGAGCCAGTCCTTGGTCCTTAAACCAAAGTGTCTTGGACAGTTGAAGGAACATGTCCTTAATCTTCAACACAAAGTGTCTTGGACAGTTGAAGGAATGGTCATTGGTCCTCAACACAAAGTGCCTCGGACGATGGAAGGAGCCAATCATTGGCCCTTAACATAAAATGCCTTGGACAGTTGAAAGACTAAGTATTGGTCCTTACAAAA